CACTTTACTAATAGTACTAAGAACAATAGGAAACGTAACCTAAACTTAAGTACCTACTTAACTAAGTAAGTAGAGTAGGAGTAAGAAGAAGTGTGGTGTGTGTGTGTGTGTGTGTGTGTGTGTGTGTGTGTGTGTATAAAAGTGGAATACTACTCAGCCATAAAAAGAATGAAATAATGCCATTTACAGCAACATGGATGGACCAAAAGATAGAGTGAAGTCAGACAGAGAAAGACAAATATCGTATGATATCACTTATATGTGGATTCTGAAAAAAAATTCAAATTCTATTCACAAATCAAAAATAGACTCATGGACATAGAAAACAAACTATGGATACCAAAGGAGAAAGGGTGGGGAGGGATAAATTAGGGGTTGGGGATTAACAGATACACACTACTATATATAAAATAGATAAACAACAAGGACCTATTGTATAGTACAGAGAACTATATTAAATTTCTTGTAATAATATATAATGGAAAAGAATCTGAAAATAAAAAACTGTATGTATATGTATAACTGAATCACTTTGCTGTGCACCTGAAACTAACATTATAAGTCAATTACACTTCAATTAAAAAAAAAGAGACCTTCAACTGATTGGATGAGACCCACCAACATGACAGAAGGTAATCTGCTCTTCTCAAAGTCCACTGATCTGAGTGTTAATCACACCAAAAAGTACCTTCACAGCAACATCCAGACTGGGGTTTGACCAAGCAACTGGGCACTGCTGGTCCCATGGCCTAGCCAAATGGACACAAAATTACCCATCACACCTTCTGACTCCAATATTTGCCAAAGACTGTATGCCCACCTGAAAGAAGAGGGGAGAGACTTTTCATTTCAAAGCCTAGCAAATCTGAACATTTTCTTCCAACTCTTGATTCCCTTGTCACCTCCTCTGGAAAGGTGTTCCCTGACCCCCTGCCGTGGGCACTTGCCCGGCCTCTGTGGAACCAGTGCCCACTGCTTGCCCCATGACGTTTTCGGTTCTGGGTTGCAACTCTGTGTCTTTTCTTCTGCCTTTCATCCTTGGAGCCCCAGGCCCTGGCTTTCACTGCCCTACTGCACACAGCAGGCACTCAGTAAATGTTTGCTCAGTGATGAAGTTTCAGCCTCTGGAATTCTTCCTGAGCCTCCAAGACCAGGAATTCAAGGTCCCAGAAAAAACCTTGATGCCCAGAGAGCCCAGCATCCGAGACGGCAGGAGCCTGTGTGTTCATGTTAAACATTGAACTTATCCAAGCAGGCATCACGCCACAACGACGAACACTCCTCTTCTGTGTAACTTGCTAATAGAAATGCATATTTGTCTTATTCACCATCAGATAGCAGCATGACTCACTTCCTCAGGAGTTGGGGTGCAAACTAAAGATCTTGATGTGGAAGGTTCCAGACTCAGTCCTCTGGGTGTGTCTGTTGTTCAGTCCTTCCTTTACCATAAAAGCATTTCTTGGGTGCTGACGATACCGGGAACATAATCCCTGTCCTCAGTGGATTCATGGCCTATGGCTCAAGATTTCTCTTCTATTTTCATAAAGGAATGCTGGCTTCACTTGGTATTTTGCCACAAGGAAATGTAGTGACTCTTAGGTCAAAATGTCATGCTTTTTCATGACCTCATCTTTAAACCTGACAGGAAGTCAAAGCTTTGGGCATGGGGAGATGCTGGGCCACTTCAAATCTGTGCCATTTCTCCTCTAGCAGAGTATGAGATACAAGAATGCCTCATATCAGGCTGTAAACTCTGACCCTTTACCCACCACAAACTTGGAAAAACCAAAGTCAGGGAAGAAAACTCCGCTTTCCTCCTTTCTCTGGCCAGTACTTCCAAACTGAACTTGGAAAACCAGGGGGAAATTGAGAAAGGTTTCCTTTGTAATTATCGTAAGATAAGCAAGCATACTGTGGAATTTTAGATTACAAACTAGAAAAGGAAATTTATCCAGAGTGATGTTTTATAAAACCCAATATGTCTCTTTCTCCAAAGAGACAGACAAATGGCTGATAAGCATGTGAAAAGATGCTCAACATCAGTAATTAGCAAATCAAAACTACAATGAGGCACTACCTCACACTAGTCAGAATGGCCCAACAAATGCTGGGGAGGGTGTGGAGAAAAGGGAGCCCTCCTATGCCGTTGGTGGGAATGTAAATTGGTGCAGCTACTATGGAAAACAGTATAGAATTTCCTTAAAAAGTTGAAAATAGAGTTGCTGTATGTTCCAGCAATCCCACGCCTGGACATATATCTGGAGAAAACTCTAATTTAAAAAAGATACATGCAATGTTCACAGCAGCACTATTTATAATAGCCCAGACATGGAAGCAACCTAAATGTCCATCGACAGATGACTAGATAAAGAAGTTGCGGTATATATACACAATGGAGTACTACTTATCTGTAAAAAAGAATGAAATAATCCCATTTGAAGCAACATAAATGGACCTAGAGATGATCATACTAAGTGAAATGTCAGGAAGAGAGATAGAGAATATATGATATCACTTATATGTGGAATCTAAAAGATGACACAAATGAACTTATTTTTGAGACACATAGATTCATAGACATAGAAAACAAACTTACGGTTATCAAAGGGGAATGGGGGTGGGGGAGGGATAAAGTGGGAGTTTGGGATTAGCAGACAGAAACTACTACGTATAAAATAGATAAACAGCAAAGTCCTACTTTATAGCACAGGAAACTGTATTCAATATCCTGTAATAAATCATAATGAAAAAATATATGCCTCAAGTTACAAAGTATCCTTCAGCGGCATCTTGCATTACCAAGCCCATCTACACGATGTCACTTCTGAGACCTCCCTTTCGCTGGCCCTGTGCTGAGGGAGCATGAGAGGTGTTTCTTGGCATTTGATTCTCTTCCATATGGTGACCAGGAAGTTTCCATCTCCATTCTGCTGTTTTCATTTCCACCTCTGGCTCAGGAAAGCACCTCTCACACAGTCCACACAGTATGCATCCCAAAAGGAGGAGACTAGATTCGAGACAGAGATTTTCAAAATCAAGTACAGTATTAAAACATCTAGCTGTTTCAAGGTTAAAGACTTGCCCTTGAGCTGTAGGAATTGGATCGATGTGGAATTTTAAGTCAATAGAGTCTGGAGAGCAGTTTTGACACCATGACAGACCGAGCTGAGATGACCCCCTCCCCAGGGGTGTGCTGGTAGATGCTTAACAACCAGTTCTTCTGAAAATCCTGTATGTGTGTATAAGCTTCTCATTCATTTCCTTGATTTAAAGGATGTGTATAACATATAACTTTAAGTAACAATTAAATGTGTAATACTCTTTACAATAAATTTCATATCGCCACCAGAATGCTTTTTTTGGGTTTTGTGGAACACTTTTATCTGTAGCCAACCTATGTTTGCAGTCCAACCACAGTTTGACAAATGGGATTTCATTGTAATCTGCTAGTTCATTTCCTAATAGATTTATTGTTACAAAATCTGGTATGTGACTCACTGGTAAACTATTTCTCCTGCTTATCCAGATTCTATTCAGTGAGTTGAAACCTCTTTCAGCCTCAGCCCTCGATAGGACATACTTCTAAGTTTAATCTGCATTATTAACATTTTCTCATCACCTTCTTAATTCTAGACCAGGGATGGACAAACTCTGGCCAGTGGGCCAAATCTGGCCCAAAGCCTGTTTTGTACATACAGTTTTATTGGATAGCAGCCCCACTCATTTGTCTGCATTTGTCTGTGGCTGCTTTTGCATAGCAAGGCCAGAGCTGCGTGGTTACAACAGCAACTGTGTGGATCACAAAGCTGAAAATATTTACCACCTGGCCCTTTTCAGAACAAGTTTGTCAACCCTTGATCTAGATGATCAACAGATGAGAAATCAAGCCCGGATTTGTGATATTAGCAGGTTCCCATGATGGAGGAACAACATTCTAGCATTTCATACCACTGTGATGTCACTGAACGCAGAACTGGGAAGAAGTGCTGAGCAGAACATCATCACACAGTAACCCGACCGCACAGATACGGGAGACGTAAGTGACCAGTAAAATGCACTACGGTAATTTGCAAGTGACAAGTTTCGAGTTTTTATTACCTTTATGTTTCTTAATCATGACTTTCTATGATTTAATTTTTAATGATGGCTGTATTTAGCAACTGGTTCATAAAACCCCTAAAAATTTAATAATTGGCTCTTATGAACCAATACAGGCCAACCGCAGGACACCACTGCCACCTTCCCCAAACTAAAACTCACAGAAATGCTAGTTAAACTGTAACATATAAACTATAACAGGTGATAGAAACAAAAAGAGAATTCAGAGCCGGAGTGGTGAGTGCGCGTGAGATAGGAGAGTGGGCCAAAGGGCCAGGGGGACGCTGGACCCGAATGTCAGCTCAGGATTGCAGGGCTGCCCAGATGGGGGCAGGAGACGTGTCTGGGCATGTGCAAGATATCTGAGACCCGAATTAAACAGGCGCCCTGGAGGGCGGCCCCTATCTGTAAAAAGATTAGAAAAACTGCCCAGCAACCCAGGTAATGGTAAGGAAGTGTGTGTCTGGCTTGAGCAGGTTAAAAAAAAAGTCTCTTAAGAGAAATCAAAATCCCCAGCTTGTGTCCAAGGTGGACTTGAGGTCCAAATTCACACCATCTGTGGAATGAGGGAATTACAAGTCAACAAATTATTACAAAAACTCTTCCCGGACCAGTGAAATCCCAGGGCCAAGGCAGGAACTAACATTTTTTCTCTGACAAACAGGTTCCAAGTTTCAAGTCACAGACTGGGAAAAATGCTTTTTACCAAAGAAGCATTTGACTCCAGGAAAATGAAGAATCCTACGATTCAATAGGAAGGCAAACAATCCAATGGGAAAAGGAGCAACGGATGTGGGTTTAACGATTTGCAGCAGAAGAAATACGGATGGCCATTATAAAAGGGGGAAAATTTCTCCCTCATTGGTAATCAGAGAAACATAGATGAACGTGATGACAACCTAGCATTTCATATCTGTTGAATTGGCAAAAAATGTAAAAGTTAAAACCAAACTTTTTCAGGGACGTGGGAAGGTCAGAAGCCTCCGCCAGCACTGGTGGGAATGTAAAAGGCACCACCACAGGGGGAGCTATTGTTATCATCCAAACAGCTGGAATGGAAGCCGGAAACTCAATCCGCAGGTGTGGGTAAGTACATTGTGGCAATACTCAGACACTGGAATATGTATCAGATAGAATGAACAAAATAGATGTATTAACATAGATGTATTTGGAATACTAATGTGAAACAAAAAAAGGCGCAAAAGACTTCTTGTACCTAAAAAGGAAGAGAAATACCGTCTAGGATGGGGTATCAATAAATACACTAAACAACAATATATATTTTGAAATTATAAAACCATAGGTGAAGGACACACACCAGTTTCAGGGTCATTACTTCTGGGGAGGAAGGGAAGGAGATGAATTAGATAGCAGGGAAGGACTCCAGTCGTATTTATAGAGATTTCTTTCTTGCAAAAAATATACGAAGGAAATAATGCAGAATGTTAAAATGTGTTCAGTCCTTATGTTTGGCCTGTGGGTATCTGTTACATCATTTTTTGTGTCTTTGTGTGTGCATGTTTGAAAACTTCTTGGAAGCGTGTCTAGGAGGCAGTCATGGCTAAATCTATCCATTTGATAAACTAGGAAATTGGTACTAGAAGACCCTCCAACTCCATCTACTCAGCATCCTTATTTATTTATTTTTATTTTTGCTTTTTTTTAATTGAAGTATAGTCAGTTTACAATATTGCATTAAATTTTTTTGGGGGGGGGAGGTTAATTAGGTTATTTGTTCATTTATTCTTTTTAATGGAGGTACTGGGGCTTGAACCCAGGACCTCGTGCATGCTAAGCACGTGCTCTACCACTGAGCTATGCCCTCCCCCCTTTATTTTTTTACTGAAGTAGAGTCAGTTACAGTGTGTCAATTTCTGGTGTACAGCACAATGTCCCAGTCATACATATACATACATATATTCATTTTCATATTCTTTTTCATAGGCAATTTATTACAAGATATTGAATAATAGTTTCCTATGCTATGCAGGAGAAATTTGTTTTTTTTAATCTATTTTTATATATAGTGGCTAACATTTGTAAATCTCAAACTCCTAAATTTATCCTTTCCCACCTCCTTCTCCCAGTAACCATAAGATTGTTTACT